TTTGAAAATGCAAGTCCAATGATGAATGGTACATAACACAAACATAGGTTTTTAAGTTAGAAAACCTTTTAAAAAACAAACAATTGCGAGATAACAAATGTTGCGCGACACAACTAAAAGTTGTTAGAAGATGTTATTTTAAAAAATAAAAATAAAAAAGGTAAATAAATAAAATAGTCTCATAGTCTATAAATAAAATTCCAAAACAAATGACAGTTTTTGACCAAAAAATAGTTATTGAATATAGATATATACATATATATATATATATATATATATATATATATATATATATATATATATATATATCAAAAATATTTATCAAACTAGTTTCTTTTCTTTCCTCTATTTTTCAGTTTTTCTTAATGTTTTTTTTTAATTTTAATTATATATTTTTTTATTTTTTATTATTTCAGTTTTTTATTGTATTTTTTATTTTTTTTTATATATCATTTTTTTCTTTATTTCAGTTATTTTTTCTTTTTTTCAAATGTACATTTAACATAGATGCTTTGATGTTATTTGTATAAATTATACAACTATTAATGAACATCAAATTTTAGTCATCTTAAATTAAAACTATCATTACACATAATATTTTTTAAGGTGCAAAAGCTCCAACATTAAATATATAGTATTTTTTTAGGTAAAAAACTCTAATATCACCCAAAAAAAATCACAAAAAACAAAAGGGATAATGACTTGAAAGGGTAACGAACTTTCGATTTTTATCACATTTAGTCACTAAGCTTTTTTTCGTTATCTATTTGCTATTGAACTATTGAAACTGTTCACATTTTACCCTTATGACCGGTTGTTGCCGGTCATAAGGGTAAAATGTGAACAGTTTCAATAGTTCAATGGCAAATATATAACGAAAAAAAGTTTAGTGACTAAATATGAACAAAACCGAAATCAAAAACCAATGGGTTGATATTTTCCAAAATAAAAAATCAAAATTTCCAATTTGATTTTGGTTTTACAAAAAAAAAATGAACCATTCTCATTGATGTGAATTATGACCATTTGGTTTGGCATGCGAAATTTGTGACATCCCATGAATATGTAGTTACAACATCGTGTGAACTCGTAATTCATAGTAAGGGGTTAGAGTATCATCGCATGAATACGTAGTTACAACATCGTCTGAAATCGTAATTCATCACCTACAGGTTATGGGCCTGCTGGTGTTTCCACTGGGTTGTCTAGAATAGTTCGTGGTCGCCATCTATACTCTGGTAGATTACTATATCGCCACATTGTTGGTTAAGGTTATGGTATCTCCTTTCATCCTACATCACATATTCATCATCATCTATTTACCTAATTATCATCACCTTTCTATCATCACCTATCTCTCATCATTTTATTTCATCACATTGCTGGTTTAGGTTATGCTTCCTAACTTCGAACCCCAAAGTTTACTCTATTAAAGCTTCATATTCTCGGCTCTCTGGACCTAGAAGGGTCCAGATCTATCACACCAAAAAGCTCAAGATAGCCCTTCCTCTCACTCTACACACTCAAGCTCGCTAGGGTTCTCACTTATAGGAAAGGTAGTCGCAATTAAAGGCCATAAGTGCCTTTAAATATGGCTCGGGCCCAAAGATTTAGGGTTTCTGCCAACAGTGCGGACTCGTCGAGTCGCCTCACCGACTTGTCGAGTCCATTCATTAATCCGAGTCATCAGTCGCGACCTTACTCGATGAGTTGAGGCGTCAACTCGTCGAGTCTCTTTTCTTAACTCAAAAGAAAAATACTTAAATTATGATACCTGGAAATCCGGATGTTACATTTTGTTTTTTTATTTCATAGATTTCTTCATCAACAAATGTTGCTACAATTAAACAAAAAAAAATAATTTTGCTAAAACATAATACAATAGGAAGTTTGTTCACATTTAGTCATTGAACTTTTTAGAGGGAAACGAACTTTCGATTTTGTTCACATTTAGTCACTAAACTTTTTTTCGTTATCTATTTGCCACTAAACTATTGAAACTGTTCACATTTTACCCTTATGACCGGTAACAACCGGTCATAAGGGTAAAATGTGAACAGTTTCAATAGTTCAATGGCAAATAGATAACGAAAAAAAGTTTAGTGATTAAATGTGATAAAAGTCGAAAGTTCGTTACCCTTTCAAGTCATTATCCCAAAACAAAACTATTTTCTCATATAATTTCTTACATATATTCACCCGTATCTATATTTCTTGACGTATTATTTTTGTCGGCATGGCCTTTACGTTTGATAACAATTCTATGAATTTGGACATAATTTACTCAACATTAAACAATTTCCATCATATAAATATCATATATTAATTGTAACGTTTTTGAGCTAGCTTCAAACAAAGTTGTCGATAATATATATATATATATATATATATATATATATATATATATATATATATATATATATATGTAACAAACAATGTTTTTACCTTAAAAAGATTTAATGTTCGACTTTTGCACCAAAAAAAATATTGTATGTTTAGTTGTAGTTTTAATTTGAGATGGTTAATATTTGATGATCAAAATGGTTACAATTTGTATAAATAACATCAAAGCATCTATCTTAAACGTATATTTAAAAAAATAGATAAAAAACTGAAATAAAGAAAATAAAAACCTGATATTATAAAAAATAATAATAATAAAAAACTGAAATAAAAGAGAATTAAAAAAAACAATAAAAACTGAAAATACCTGGAACATGAGAAAAGTATTAATTTGGTAAATACTAATTTGACAAAAAAAAAAAAAAAAAAAAAAAAACTGGTATTCTTTTTTTGACAATGGTAAAAAGCTAAAACACAGCATTAAGCCAATCAAGTATTGGTCAGGAAAAATCAAAGTGGCAGAATTTAAGATGAAAAATGGGACCATTTTGAGTTTTTGACACGTCCCTTTTATAGCCCCACCCAACCCCCAACCCAACCCAATAGGCATCTCTTCAAAGATGTACAACCTTTATTACACATGGCCAGTTATTCACCGCCACTAACATGCGCCCCACAATATGTGGGGCTCACATTCAAAATGTGTGGGCCCACGAATCAAATGCTTAGTCAAGATCTATTTACAACCACATCATCGAACTCTCGTGAACAACATTGTATAAGATCAGAGTTAATTTATTGAGATCATACACATCAATTGTGTACAGAGGCTGACATCAGGATCAACATCAATGACAGCCGTTGATTTTGGGAGGAACGGTTGAGATCCCTTGTTTGGTAAGTTCTGATATGACACTTTCAGTAGATGGAGGTTTCAGGCCCAAAGGCAATGGCAGCCATGGCTTATTTATTGCTTCCTTCACCACCTTGTCAATGACTTCATCTCCCTATAATAATTATAGTACTTTCATATGTCACAACAATGCAAAATTCTGACAAAAAATGGAATATGAATATGAAAAAATTATAGAGAATAACAATATACTTCATTTTCGTTTGCGATACCGGAAATGTACTTTGTTTTTTATTTTACCGATAATAGCAAAGTAATTAATTATATTTTTTACCAATAACAAAAAATATAGCTTTTGATATATACTCATAACAAACAACCTACATATATTTTTACCAATAATTGCAAGCTACTACTCACATTTGGATGCAAGGAAATGCAGTTTATTTGTTATATATTAGGTTAGAGACCCGTGGAAACCACGGGTTTATTAGATAAACAATGAAAGTAGATTGATAAAATAAGAAAATTTTAAAAATTCAATAGTAAACTATATTAAAATATGGTTGTCTATGTAGGATGATATTGTATTTTAATAAATAAGACTTTAAAAGTACTACAGTAAAATAGTGCAAATTAAGAGTATAATGTTGAAAAAAGGTTTTATTTTGTAAGCAGAATGATATACGGAATAAGAAATTTTTAATAATTCAAAACTAAAATATGCTGAAATGTATAAAATATGATAGTTTGTGAAAATACAATGAAAAATATGTATGAATAGAACTTTCAATGTAGAATGATATTATACTGCAATAAATAAGACTTTAAAAATACTGCAATAAATAGTACAAATTTGAGATAGTATTATATTGTAAAAATAGAACGAAAATTGTAATTTTATTATATATTCCTTACACTCATGATATTTAATAAGTAAAATTTTATAAAAACTTTACTAAAATAAATTATTTACCAAAAGAAATTTAAAATTTAAATATAATTATGATCTATTATGTAAGAAATAAAAATTATTTGCTCAAATAAATTTAATGTGACGAGGATAAAAAAATTATATATAGTATATGATTTAGAATAAGGGTTAATTTGTTGTTTATCCAATGGGGTCTCACCATTTATGCAAATAAAAAAAACATTAAGTGAGCTAAAATAATGGCTAAAACCAAAGGATGATAATCTATTAAACTTAATTTAAATATATAAAAAAAAGGATTAATAGAAATCAATGTACACTACAATTAAGAGTTGAGATATTCAATAAAAAAATGTAGATTGCTATTATGGGTAAAGAAATGTTGTTACATTTCTTTTATAAGCAAAAAAAATTAGCTACATTACCTTTATTAGTAAAAAAAAAGTAAAACATGTTATTTCTCGCAATTTGTGCCATATATAAACACTTAACACTAACCCTAAATCAATGATAGTTAAACAATAATCGGACATTTAAAAGTAAAAAAAAAAAATTGTGTGGGAAATGTACAAAAAAAAAAGCATAGAAAAAGTTATAACTAATTTATTTTAAGGGGATAAAGCGCCTAAGTCCAATCGATTGGAAGCAATGACTTTTTACTTTTATGTTTGAATTTTGAGGTCAGACAAAGACACCATACTTCAAGTTTGATAATCATGTTATAATTTTTTTGGTTTATGAAGTAAACTGTAGTAAAAAGAAAGAATCAATATGAATTTGTAACTCCAAAAGTTGTATTTCACCTCAAAAATTCTAACCATTACTTATGGATAAAAATATCATTCTAGTATGGTATAACTTAGCAATCAAATTTTTTTCTTCAAAGCTTAAAAAACTATCTTATTCTTGACTTGAAAAGTATTTTTATAACCATAAAAACCAAACCCTATAAAGATATGGTGAATGTAAATACCGGATACTGGTCAAATGAATTCTTTGGCATGGTTTGGTTACTCTGAAATTGTGAAACATTCTGCAATCACACGAATCGTTGATAAATATATATATTTTTTTAATTCAATGCAAACAATGACAAAAAGAGTTAAATTTAAGAAATAGCAAAGTACTTTCATTGATTTGTTTATTATAACTTCCTATTATCGCATTGTACTTTTTTTTTTAAAATTATAGCAATATCATCAAAATACGAAACACTTTTGATATACCTTGATAAGAAAAAAAATGAAGTATAATCCTAATAATTGGGTAATTTTTTTAAAATACATTACCCCTAATAAAAAATAAATTGAAAGCGTAATGCTGTAATTTAAAGAAATAAAACTAAGATGCTATAATACACATAAAAAAGTACAATGTTATTTCTTACATTTACCCCATTAGAAAAAACATACTTACTTGAGGAAAAGATGGGTGAGATGGGATGGTTGGGCAACCCCAAGTTTCAGCTTGTGTCTGGAACATGACATGAACACACCCATAATCAACTCTTAAAAATCAAAAGACTTACAAAAGAATGACAAAATGATATATTTGTATCGAATGCGAGTTTACCTCTGGATAGGGATTCCACAACCAACTTACAGGAGAATGCCATGCTGGATAATATGGTGGGCCCCACGTCTGAGGTGGAGGAGGGTAGTTGGGTGGAGGTGGCCAACTAGGATATACTTGGTTAGAATGATATGGAGGAGGGTAGGCCATAATGGGCTTTTGTGGATAGTAGTTTCTTGATGTTGAATGGTGTCTAGTTTGAGGCCATTTTCGGCCACTCTCCTTGGGCAAAATATGTCTCCGTTGTAATCTATATTTCTGCTTCAATCATAAGAAAAGTAAATGTTTAGCTTTAGATAAAAATAATCATGGAAGTAGATATAGGATATACGCCTGGACAAGCTTTCCAGGGCTATTTGAGACGATGAAGATGAGAAGGGCATTCACATCTTTTTCACAAACAAAAGATCAAGAGCGATTCCGTGTCCCACCATTTTGGGAAAAACTACAATTATTATCCTGTTGTCTCCATCCACAATGCATGCCAAATACAGTACAACATGTTACATCATGTGTAAGAAACAGATGTTTTTTCTAACCTGGAGATGACTTGCGACATTATGCCTAGTTAAGCCCTCTACGTTCATAAGTTCTAATATACGTGAAGGTATGGCTTGATCAACACCAAGTTGCTCCACGGCTTGTACGAATTTCTTGTGTAGTTCACTACTCCAATCTACCTGAAATATTCACCCTATTTAAAATCACAAACAATAGAATCACACAAATGTAATCATGGTGCACCAATGCATGTTGGCTCCTACACAATGGATTTTCTACAAGTATATAAAGCACAATTAACATCATACATAACATACAAGTATGTATTAGGTATGAGTATAACGTGCTTCATACATAATGTATGAAGCACAATGATTTTAAGATTAATCAAAAAAACATATCAATCATCTTCTTTACCTTGACCTTTCTTCGACCAGATTTACTAGAACGTGAAATTGGATGCTCGGATGCTTCGTTTTGCTTCTTACCATCATTTGGATCGGGGCAACATTCATTACTTGAAGTCTTGTTGATTCCCTCTTCCAAACTTTTTGAGAAGTTTGTCTCCATAACATTATCAACAACTAAACGATCATCACAGGTGATTTCGACGAATTTGGACTCACCATCATGTTCTACACACTCTTTCTCAGTTGAGAGATTCGTTTGATCTTCATTATCAACATGCCTCATTCCTTGCTTCAACTGTGGGGTCGATGGGGCAGGATATTTATCACTTTCAACTGACACCTCCTCATTATGTTCTTTATTTTGAATGACTTCTTGCTTTATACCTACTTTTTCCAAAAGAATCAAAGCTTCCTCGGATTTCAACGCTTCATTTTCATCCTTAGGTCCCGCATTGAAAGCCTGCTTGAAGTTTTCACAATCCCATTATCAGAAAATAGGTGAAAGGCATTGAATATATTAATTATTTCACTATAGAAATTAAACTTTACTAACCTTGTGAGCCACATGTTGCCATATGTTTCGGAGTTTATCTTCAGACAATGGTTTCTCAAGGAACTCAACTGCACCAAGCTAGAAAACAAAACACACAATCGGGATCAATGACACTTTTGTATTAAAACGATTTTGATAATGTTTCCTTAATTCCTTTTGATTTGTTATTACCACATTGTACTTTGAAAAATCTACCCACTTATATCAAGAAAAATTGCATTCTATTCAAATGACATTGGTAGATTATTTAAAGTGCAATGATCTAACAATACAAAGTGAAAGTAAAATGCAGTAAACAACACATATATGGAAGTGTTTTTCTTTTTATTGCATTTAACCTTTAAAAACAATCTTGTGTTGAATAAAACTTACTGCTATGCACTTCATCATGGTACTGATGCAATTCACATCTGAAGTCACTGAAATCAAAACCGAAAGAATCTCAATTTATGTTCGTATAAAAAGATGTATCATAATACAAATTTAGATTAGCGATTTAAGAGGTATACTGATTGTAGGCAAGTCTTTCGCCTTTTCAAGAAACTTAAATCTTCCATCTTCATTACCTGCTCTCACCTGTTACAAAATGTAAAAATACATAAGACGCTTCAAATTGAATCCAATAAATCAAGAAAGGATTCAAAAGGTACGACTTTGTAATACCCATATCTGGAAAATATTAATTTTCGAAAACTTAGCAACATCAATATACATGTCGTCAAAAAGTACATCAAATTCAAAAAACTTGAATACCTCTACTATAGCTACATGGAAGCCTTTAGATTTTTCTGAAATCGCTGACAACGCATCATTCTCACTATAGAAAGCAGAAACTGTACACATTAATGCTAAAGTTAGATAATCTCCAGCGTATACGGTGAATATATGCGATAATAAAGAGCTTATAAACTTGAATGCACATGTAATTAGGAGTGTTCAAAAATATTAGATATCCGATACCCTATTTTTATATTATATTTCAGCTGAAAGGTGAAACAATGTTTTTCGCATTATTATTTTATAGACTTCTGATTTTTTAAATGGTCTTAATGTACAACTGATTTGAGTTCATGAGTCAAAATGTAAGTTTGGTTTTGACTTTTGAACCCTTCAAAATTTAAGCTAAATACTATGGAGTATTATAGTAAATTAATTTTGTATTAGGTTTAAACTCGTGGAAAACACAAAGGATAAAGAAAAACACTACTGATAATTCGAAAACATAATGATTAATCAATGATTTGTAAAATTTCCATTTAACAATTTTATTATAAAACTTAAACAAAAGAGTTTATTTAATTTTTCATTATTTTAATAGTCAGGTAGCCATATCTGAACATTATAATAGTTAGGAAGTTTATATAAAACTTTTCTAAAAACTACAAAGGGTTGTGACTCCGTGTGTATCATCAAGTGATTAAATATTGATGGCATGTAGCAAGTTAAAACATAAAGAGATGAAACTAAGAAAGAATAACTTTATCTCACAATCTTGGAGACATCACATCAGTTAATATACCAATAGTACTTTGAAGTTTTATAAAATGTCATTCTTGTTTATAGCAATGAAATTTACTCTATATACCAATATAAGCAATATTCTTTATTACTTATGAGTTTGATCTAGGGATGAGATTTAAAACTAGAAACCGGAACTGTTAGAACCATAATATATAAAATCAATCTGAATGTCTTTATCTGGGTTTCGGGTAATCCAGGTTCCGGGTTTGAGAATGTCTTTATCTGGGTTTCGGGTAATCCAGGTTTAGGCCCATCGGGTCCGGATAAACCCAAGTTTATGAACCAAAATCGCTAAGTAGAAAGGGAATCGGTTTTATGGTCGGAATCGGAATTTAATGAGTTGGTTTTTAATTATGGTTTGTAGTGAATTGTGACTAATTTGCCCTTGTAGTCATAAAAGATTTAGAGGTATACAATAATAGATAAACAAAATGTTTTTCACTTTTATTAAACAGAATCACATTGTAGCAACATATGGTTCAAAATTGTTTGTTTATTGATTTACCATACGTATAGATATTAAACAGGATCACAACGTTAAACATGATCCTATTTGAAAGACAATATTTCAACTGTTTATGTAAACAATACTTATAGTTAATTTAATAAACTAAACTTGATATCTAAATATGCATGTGGCAATGTGATAAAACTAAGAGAATTTAATCTATGCTTGTGGCAATGGAAAGCAAAATGTGGCCTTATTAAAAAAATATAATTAAAGCCCAAGCGTGTGGAATTTAATTTTGGCTATGATTAGGATTCCTAATTTGTTGCCTAATAATCCATAGAATTTAATATGTCTGATTAGTAATTTAACTTTTATGTCAAATAGGTTATAATGAGATGGACAAGTGGCAATAAATTGATTCATTTCTTAAAATAGCTAGAGGTATTATTTGTTTAAGTAGATAGATCTACTTCAAAACTAATAAAATAATGGTATGCTTTCTTTCTCAATCTTTTAAGAAACACGGTAGTGCCTAATCCATAACATATTATATACGAATTAAAATGAATATGAGTGGAACGAAAATATTTTTTTTTCTTAAAGTTTTCTTACACATCATACGACTAATAAAATCTCAAGAACAGAAATTATAACGAAGTAAAGAACTTCAACTAAACATTTGCAAAAGTCATGCACAATAAATAAATTCACAACTAAATAAATCAAAAACAACTTGGAGTTAAAGTAACTAACCAACATAATCCATTTCTTCAAGTTTCGATTTTATTACATTTGCAGAATCGATATCTTCATCAAGGAGCAAGACTCTAAGACCCTTCGGAAAATCTTTCCACTCTAATAAATCATTTGCAGTGCAAACCATAGCTGTCTGGCATCGTTATATCATCAGATCTCTCTACTCGTCGTCATTTTTTCTCATTAATTTATAAACTCTGCATAAAAATTCACATCGATGTTAATTCAGTCTTGGATCCGCATAACATAATGCATGTTTTAGAATCTTGATGGGTAGATCAGTGATCAGATATGTTGGTGTTGAAGATATGGACCTCATTCGAGCGAAGTAATAATTGATCTGATGATAGAATAATAATATACATAACAAATATATTTTAATTAATAAAAATCGCAAAATCTAAACAGCAAATGATTTCCTCATAATAACTTTCCTCACCTGAGAATTCATAATTGAAGACATCTTGTTTATCATAAGTACGCCATAGATATAAAAAAAATACTCATAAAGTAGATTCACTTTTAACAATGACTCAAAGTATTAAAAAAAAAAGCATATAATATTTGTAGGTCATAACCCATGATGCAAACCACATGTCGATTATTCACACACACTGACGGAATACAAAACACATAGAAGTTCTTGCATCTTGATGTTTTTTAACATAAGTACAATCTTCCGTTTGAGATCAAGAAAAGATTCGATTTATGTGAGTATCTAATATGTGTTTGGAATGAAGATACAGTGTGGCAAAACAACAACAGATGGAATTTGTCAAGAAAGATTCGATGATTAGCTTAAAAAAGAAAGCTTTAGAGGTCAGAGGAAGAACACAAAAGGGTAAGTAAATATACAGTAAAAAAGGCTGACAAATGAATGCAAGTTTAAAGGGAGAGCAAGAAATGCGGAAATCAAACTTACACTTGATTCGTCGAATGAAGTAAATATAGAAGTGCATCCAGTTGAAGAAAAAACATGAACAAGAAAAGGAGATATATATTTAGGATCTTTACTAAAAGGATTAAAGAAAAACTATGGGCGCTACTGTTATGCCTTTCCTTGTGTTGGAGAGAGAGAGAGAGAGAGAGAGAGAGAGAGAGATGAGTGTATGCAGAAAAAGAAGAAAAAAGTTCTGCACTAATTGGTCATAAACATCTATCATTGTTCCAACCACCATATTTAGATATGTTTGTCAAGATTTTGATTTTGTTTTTTATTGATAGTCTATTACAAACATCAACTAATTTGACGTATTTGACATTGTTTTATCCATACAAAGTATTTTTTTTGAGTTGTTACTGATTTTATTAAACAAACTATAAAACATTCTTAAAGTTGTAAACAAATACAATTTATTGTGTAGAAGGAACCAACTTATGGTTTATATCGTTTATTCCTATATGTTTTGACATATTATTACAAGATTATATGTGATTTACGTATTACATTTTTCGCTTTTAAACTTTATTAAAAATCAAAATTTTGTTACACTCTAAAATCATTATTACATCCGCATTACTAACGATAAATCTAATTCCACAGGAACACAAAATACATATCAAATAACAATTTGGTATTGATGACCCTAATTTCGTAGTGGGACTTCTACGAAACCTAATGATACATAACGATAGCTACTTTCACAAATAAGAATTTCATAATGGAATTCATGGTTTTGTAACGACCACATTACAAATATAATTACTGGGATATTTCATGTCGAATCATAAGCTACAGCAGCTAGATTTGTGTTTTTGTAATGTATCAATTGGTTTAAGTAGAAACGTGAATTATAATTTAGTGTTTGTTTTTTAGTTGATATCTTTAACTTAGATAAGGTACGGAGTGACAAGTCAAGGACTCGTTGTCATAGACAAAGACACTACGAACTTACAGCAGCGACTTTTAAGCTATATGCATCTTAAAAAAATAACAATGTTAAAAAGGTAATTACATCCTATTTCAAAAATAGAGACTTATAATCGAGAGGAAGCCATCTATCACAAGGGAAAGACACCTACGTGCCACTATATTTACCACAAATTCCAAATGACTTTTTGTTTGTCATCTTCTAAATTCAAAAGATTCCCATCAAAAAAATTATCACTTATATTTTAGATTATTTGACAAAGAAAATGTAATTATTGCACCACTTATTTAAAAATAGAAATATTACTATTTTTTTTTGTTGTATTTTCGTATAAATATAAGTGGTGTTTATCTAATGTAATTATTAACTCTAATTGAGATTTTCTTTTTTGTGTTTAGTATATATATATATATATATATATATATATATATATATATATATATATATATATATATATATATATATATATATATATATATATATATATATATATATATATATATATATATATATATATATATATATATATACTAAACACAAAAAAGAAAATATATATATATATATAACACTAGTTGTGACGCTCATTAAGCTATCCTCATTAACAATCCAATCCAACTTAATTTTTTTATAAAAAACAAAATTTTCTCTCTTCTAATTATACAACTCAACCCAATTCATTAAAAACTCAATCCAATCTATTTTATATTAAAATTTCATATTTATAAACTTATATCAATATTTGTTTTATTTTGTAGAGAAAATAATTAGATATTTTGATATGTTTTATTTTATTTTTTATTAGAAATTAAGGTTATGTATGAACAAATATAGCTTTTGATATAAAAATAATTGATTTCATCTAATAAAAGTAAACTCCTATGATCATTATTTGGAACCTTAAACAAGCAAAGGCGTCGGCATGAGCTAGTTTACTAAGGATTGTTTGATTCTTAATTTTTTAATATATTTTTTCTCACCAAACCGTTCACAAGAAACCTTCAATGTGGATAGTCTTAGTTCTAAGGACCATGAATTATATGGGTTAGTTTAAAAAAAATTAAATATAAATGTCAAGATATTTGACAACTTTGAATTTATAAGAAAATATAAAATAATGAATTGTTATAATGCAAATGTTTTTTATTTTTTAAAGTTAAACAAATAATTTAAAAAAAAAAAATCTAATGAACTTTAATTTTAGAGATTTTACAATTAAAAGGTAAGTTTATTAATTAAATTGATATCCATTTATTATTATATTTATTACAATTATTACATTAAAATATTATATGGAATTTAACAAAATAGAGAAACTCATAAAATGACATGTAAGAAAAAAATTAATTCAAAATAAACATTAAATGATATTTGGCAATTTGAATAACAATGTGTCAAGTGACAAAAAAAACTTTCATTTATTAGAGTTGATTTTTTATTGTTTATTATGTAAAAATTGTACGAGATAATCTCCACCAAGGTTGGACTTGGTATGAGGTCGAGCTGCAACTCATTTATTATTACAAAATATAATACTTCCTAAAGATATCGGTAAACATATTACATCAGTGTTGGAGTTAGTATGAGGTCATCTCTCTAACCATGCTTATCTCAAATTTGTTGGCCATGATGATTCCAAATTCATCACACAGTTCTCAATTGTAGAACCAAAAATTATATCATCAATATATGTTTAAGCAAGAATTGGATCAATGATGGTCCTTATGAATAACAATGTGCTATCAATTCCTCATGTTTTATAACCATTATTAACCAAGTAAGTAGACAGAGGTGACATCCTCGATTTTCATAATAAAAAAAAAATCTTTACATTTTTAAAATTCATAGCAACTTTATTTGTGGAAAATCTCAGTATATTAGAACGTTTGAGTACAAATGATTGTCTCAAAATAATAAAAACTTTAAGGATGTCATAATCGATACACAACATATGTTACAGTGTAAAGACCTAATGTAACATCCAGAATTGCAGGTATGCTATTTTGATTATTTAATCATTTAATTTTCTTGAGTTATTGGAGGGACTCGATGAGTTGGTGCCTCAACTCGTCGAGTAGGGTCGTGACTTTTGACGCGTTTTAGCGACTGGACTCGCCAAGTCGGGTATCTGACGAGACAAGTCAGTGCTGATGGGGAAAACCCTAATTTCTCAGGTTTAGGACCTATTTAAAGGTCCTTATGGCCTTCACTTGCGGCCACTTACTCCCCTGAGAAACCCTAGAGAGCAAGGGAAAGGCTAATTCTTCATCCTTTTAGTGTGTTCTTGCAAGAAGGAGTGGGAAAGTACAAGCTAGATCGATTGTGGAGGTTGAATCTATTTTATTCATATTGAGATTCGCTTATGAAGGTACAAATCCTTTCCCATTTCGTGTATTTGATAGATTGCTTGAATCTAGGGTTTCTTTGCATCATTTTGAGTTGGATTATGAAGCATGTGATGTCCCAAGGTGGTGTAGATGTTAGATCTGGACCAAGAGTGGTCCAAAAAGTCCCAACCTTCCAGCTTTATGCTGTTTCATGGGAGTTTTGAGAGTAGGTTACCATTTTGAAGGTTATTTCTCCATTTATGGCTTTGTGTGTGTTGCATGAACATAAAGTTTAAACCTTTCATTACGTGACTTTTGAGTGCTAGGAGGTTAGATCTACTAGTTAGAGAAGAAGATCTGACCTTAGAAGGTCATTTGAGTGTTGCCATGAAAGGAACTCGCCGAGTCTAGTAAGGTTTAGAAAGATCCATAGTACACGCCTGGACTCGCCGAGTCACCTATGTGCACTCGACGTTGGGTCAAAGTTTGATCGTTGACTTTCGTTGACTTTTAGGGTTGGGTCAACACTTGGACTTTTGGACCATTAGAAGGGTAAAAAGGTCTTTTAGCCTTCTGAGAGAACATTGGAACGAACTATTCTAGCATGGAGAGTCGTTATTGATTTGAGATGATTGCTTATATCTTGGGATATGTGTTTATTATGATGACATTTGTTAAACATGGGAGAGGTTCACCACCATGTTCAGAGACGAGTATGTTGCCCCGGTATAGAGGGAACGGTTGGCACAGGAGTTTTCGTCCCTTAAGCAGGGGACAGAGTCAGTGACTATGATTACATGGATGATCCATGAGAGGGCGTTGTTTTGCCCTGAGCATGTGTCATCTGAGCAGCCACGCATGAGTCGGTATTTGAGCATTCTGAGGAGGGACATCCGGGAGATCATGACGAACTCGACTTACCGGACATTTGCTGAGCTCCAGGCAAATGCCCGGAAGAGGGAGATTGAGCTGGAGACTCGGGCTAGGGAGGAGGCCGAGTCTCAGGGGAAGGATAGGCGGCCAGTACAGTCTCAGTCATCAGCCAAGCGGGCCAAGCTTGCTGATTCGAGATCTGGAGGCAAGAAGGGTTGCACTTGTGGGAAGTACGGCAAGGGACATGATGGAGTCTGTCGGTCGGGTGCTTACTAAAAATGTGGCAAGGAGGGGCATATAGCCAAGGACTGCCCCCAAGGGATTTATGGTTTGCTTTCATTGCAACCAGACGTTTTCTTTCATTGCAACCAGACAGGCCATCGGAAGGCCGAGTGCCCGCAGCTATTACAAGGATCAGCGCAGGGATCTGCCCCCTGCTACTGCACGAGCTACTGAGGGTCGGCTAGTGAAGGCTGAAGCACCGAAGGCATGCGGGAGAGCCTTCCAGTTGACAGCGGAGGAGGTCCGCGCAACGCCCGACGTCGTGGCTAGTATGTATTATTTCATTTATTTATGTTGAGTTGAGATATTGTGCTTATTTTATGATATGCATAGGTACTTTTCTTGTGAATTATGTGTTTGCTTTGGTGTTATTTGAGTCGGGTGCGAGTCGATCATTTGTGTCATTAGCGTTTAGTCAGCACATCAGTATTCAACGAGAGGCGTTGAGTCGACCTCTACGAGTTTCCATAGCTGACGAGCGAGTGGTGTATACCACTGATGTGATTCGAGTATGTATACTTGAGATATTCATCGTTGAGTTTCCGATAGATCTGGTCCCGATTGCGATGGGGGACGTTTGCATTATAGTGGGCATGGGTTTTCCCTTGGTTAATTTAAAGTCCTATCATTGATTATAGTATTATCATTATTAATCAGCTTGGGAGATTATGGACAATTAGGAGGGCAGTGTTTGTATTCAGCAGACTGAGGTGAGTCTCCTCACCATACCAGTAGGTTTAAGGCACTAAGGCCGGCCCATTATGTGATTATGATATATGTGTTAGACATCATGTGATTTGATATGTTATGTGATTGTGTTTGTATGTAAGACCTCGAGGGGTTCCTAAGGAACTTAGATGTAAGACCTTGGAGGGTTTCCTTGGCATCCTAGGTTAAAGACCTCGGGGGGGGGGGGGGGGGTCCCGAGGCATTGGGCTAAGACCATGTAAGGGTTTCCATGGCACCCAGAGTAAGACACTGGAGGG